CAAACCCCCCCCCCCCCCCCCAGACAGGAACAGCCAGAACTGGTGAACTTTAGAAATGAAGCTTTGTTTAACCTTGTGTGCATTGCAGAATATCATCTGTGGCATTTCATAAGTTTCTTAAAGCCTGGGAATTGGAGATTGGATCGTTATAAGCTTTATGAATGTGGTGTGCTCAAGCTGTGGTCTTCTGGTCGTATTTATCTTACAATGCTTCAGGCATTCAGTGGAGAAAACATCCCCATGAACAGGTCACTATTGAATTTAAATCTTGTACCCATTTCTTAACCCCCCCCCTCCCCCACCCCATATCATCAATTTATTTTGTTAGCCATTCAGCCCCCCCTCCCCCTGTTTCCCCCTTCTTTCTTCACCATGAATTCAGTTATTTCAAAACTCCATGTCTGTCAACTCTGTTGCTCTCACCCTAAATTCCTAAAATTAAACAGCACATATCTTCTTTTTTCAACACTATCTCCTCATATTTGAATCTTGTTATCTCCATACTTAACACCTAATTTCTTTGGTTACTGGAAATTTGAAATAAATTTGTTCGACAGAAAATTGGTTGACTGTTGTTTGATCGAATGGAAATTTGGTAGAATAGAAATTTGGTAGAATAGAAATTTGGTAGAATAGAAATTCGGTAGAATTTTTTGTTTCTTGCCAAGTCTTAGAGGTGCAAGTTATGAATGGGGAGATTTGTTTAAAATGAATTTAGGTGCAAAGCTTTAACAAATTTTGTTAACTATAGTTTTAATTGAAGGGAGTTAACTTTTGTTGTGGGTGAAAAAATTTAATACTTCTCTGTCTCTATGAATCCAAAATACCTAAAAGATGGCCTTTAATTGTGTTTTTCAACAATGATGACTTGCCATCAATTGTAGCAAGAGTGGCATTTAAATATAAATCTCCGACTAACTCACTGTCTCTTGAAGACAACAGACAGTCAATATTGACGTTGCACATTCCCTCAACCTCCCCTCCTCAAATAGAGGCGAACAGTCCCAACGCACCAAGATATTGTGAGACAGAACATCGCTAGTGTTTGGACATCTTGACACCAAGATATTGTGAGGCAGAACATCACCAGTGTTTGGACATCTTGACACCAAGATATTGTGAGGCAGAACATCGCTAGTGTTTGGTCATCTTGACACCAAGATATTGTGAGACAGAACATCGCCAGTGTTTGGACATCTTGACACCAAGATATTGTGATACAGAACATCGCTAGTGTTTGGACATCTTGACACCAAGATATTGTGAGACAGAACATCGCTAGTGTTTGGACATCTTGACACCAAGATATTGTGAGACAGAA